TTGACCCAAGTCTTCTATCTTAATTTTAGACTTATGGGTTGCAATGCGAGCAAACATTTTAAAAAGATGAGCGTACAGACATAACATCACAAATTCAGTAAAATTCTAGATGTTAGAAAAATCTTTGATGTATGGATTATGAAGGGGGATACGGAAAATATAAAAATAGTTAAATTTACTCCAAGATGAAACAAAATTTAGATACTAAAATTTTTTTTAACAAATAATAGTAATCGAGTCGAAAATAAAATTTTTTTATATTATTTTTTAATAGTAATTCGAAAATACCAAAATAGTAAATTGAAGACGATTATGTATCATATATTCACATTAATTGGTGTAATTAATACATTTTGTATGAAATTTACATAAATTTAACCAAAGTTATTAATAATTTTAACTAACATAATAACATTTTTTTTTAATAGTAGTCAATAGAATAGTAAAAGCTTACACGATTTTCAGTCGAATTCTCTCCATAAAACTAATATTAAAAAAAAAAATTTTTTCATCATGATTCTGACGAATTTTTAAGCCTTAAAAGTTAATTGAAAATTAAAAATGCCAACTTTTACTTAACAACAGCAATATAATAATAAAACTGTTGAACTAGCTTGAAAATATGTATCATGTAAACGATAAAAACCAACAAGATAGAAATGTCATTTACAACGAAATAATTCTAATAATATGAGTTCAACAGTACAATACATGAGAATAAATCGATTAAATAACCTGACATGCACATACTATGAGTATTATCAATTTGAGATCTGTTAAAAAACAGATGACAGAATAAAAATGTTTTTTTTTATCAAAGAAAAATATAATATCATAATTGAAAAATTAGAAAGATATCAAATATTTAACTAAACTCTGATTACTTTCACAAATTCGTTTTGTACACATTTGAAATTTACTATTAAATATCGAGGGTCCAGTATTAAAGAAATATATCAATTAATGTATTAACTTATAAGAAATTTTATTAATATGTTTAAAAAGTGAGAGATGAAAAAAATGAATGACAAACATAAAAAAAACCATACAGTGAAATATTTTTAAATGAATAAGATATTCCTTTTCATAAAGGTAGACTACAGTGGTGGTGTCCTTGATATTCATGGAAGTTACACTATATAAATGAAATATAAATTAAACGAACTTTAAATTTTATTTTGACTTCAAAAAGAATTAAGAAAAAAAATGTAAAAGAGTTATTCGATAGCAGGGGTTTGTTAAACTTCGTACGTCAACGTAGAAAATTCTGATATATTCGACGCAGCCACTGTGTTTTATATAAATTCGAAGCATAAAATGACAATTTAAATTAGTTAAAAAATTCAAAGCACCTTTTTTATCTTAACTTTTAGGAAGCAAAATAAATTTAAATTTATATTTAATGTAAGATAGCTCACGTAAATTTGATAAAAATTGGTGGAATCATTACTATGACAAACCCTTGTAAAGTATTTTAAAATAAACAAAAATAAATATACAATTTGAACGTAAAAATAGCATGTTTTTTAACTACAGAGCTATTTGCACATAGAAAATAGGTCGAGGGGCCAAATTTTTCTTTTGAACTTCTAGTATATAACATAATCTTTATTTTAATAAAATTAGTTTAAAGCTCGGAGTATTTCTGGAACATTTTTAAAACTCAAGTTGAAAAAGTTATTTTTTTTGTACAGAATTTGCTATTTTTATACCTCCAGATGGCAGGTAAAGGGTTAGATTTTCAAAAAGTTATGTCAGTTTTAAGAGAATAAAGTTTAAAAAACCCAGCACAGTGATGACATGGCATAGATGGATCAAGTATAATGATATCTGACAGTGATTAAAATCACTATAAAAAAAAAACGCTNTGGCATAGATGGATCAAGTATAATGATATCTGACAGTGATTAAAATCACTATAAAAAAAAAACGCTTCGATGCAAATCTTAAGATAGTGTTTAATTTTAAAAAATTGGTGGATTATTCCAAAAGCTACATCATGCATCTATAAAAAAAAAACCCAGCACAGGGGGGTCGCGGCACAGTGGTGACGTGGCATAGTTGGATCAAGTAAATGATATCTGATAGTGATTAAAATCACTATCAAAAATAAACGCTTCGATGCAAATCTTTAGATAGTGTTTAATTTTAAAA